GCGTAGACAGCCAGGGCTACACAGAGAAATGCTGTCTTGAAGCCCTCTCCCCAACAAAAACAATTGTTTTATTCATATAATTACTTTTTTCAGGTGCCTGAATGAACCTTCTGGTACTGAATTTCTCCTTCCCCTATTTTGCATATTCTTCTATTAATAAAATATGAACTATATCTATCTATAGTTATCTATATCTATCTACCTACCTATCTATATTATAGATATAGATATTCACTTTTTAGACTATTAGTAAGACCATGTACCACCACTTACAATGTCATGTTGAGACCCAAGCATTCCAAACAAAGCCTGGGAGATAAAACTATCTGTATCTGAACAGTCAAATGCACAGACCACATAGCTGATAAAGTGACCAACCTTGTAAAAGTGAGAAATACAAGTCTGCTGCGTTCTTCATCGTTTCCGGGTTACAGCTCAAATCAGTGAACAACTCGAGGAGCCGAGTCCTGGATGATCTCAAATCACTAACAACAACAGACAGGAAAGCTAAGTAAGCTGTGTTTCAAAGACTACATAAAAACAGTTCAGAGGCTACAACTTAAAAGCATTAAAACAATACCACAGATCCCCTGCTTCCTTCTTTATGAAGTACCAATCCCAAGGAATAAATTTAATTAGGGTCAATGTTAGAAAGAAATGAAGTTTCTATTAACAATTGCTTCAAAAGTTATATGAAAATAAACTCAGTCTAATTAAAGGGGCAATGCAAGCACCCAATTATACAATAAAAATATATAGCAAGTTTTAAAAGCAAAAATATCAACCAGGCATGGCAACACAAACCTGTAATACAGTGCTCAGGAGGTGGGAGAGGAGAGGAATTCTTAGCTACAGAGCCGAGTCAAGGCTGAGGCAGCTCAGGCTAGCTGAGACCCTGTCTCCATCAACACAAATAACAACTGAATGGACTTAAAATTCATTCTTCCTTCTTTGTGTGTGTGTGTTTACTGACAGGGTTTCTTTGTGTAGCCTTGGCTGTCTTGTAACTAGCTGTGTAGACCAGCTGGTACTGAACTCACCTGCTTCTGCCTCCTGAGTGCTGGGATTAAAGGCATGTGCCATCAGCTGGCTCATTTTTCACTCTTTAGCCAATAGTTTTGGGGGAAACAGAAATTTAATGTACTTGTAAATCATTTTAATAACTATTTTTAACTTCTAAACTTGGCACTCCACACAAAACATCTAACATATACTATATGAATATATACACATCCAGAAGATGTGAAACTGGATGGCCAACATGCCCCCACATGCCATTCTTCTCCAACTTTCCCTCTGGCGCTTCCTTTACCCCATGGTCACAGTGTGTACTACAGATTCAGGATGTTCCTCCCCATTCAACACTTCTTCTCTATGTCCCCAGTTCTCTCCCACACATAAAAAAGCCAGTCTTTGGCCTTCTGCTTGTCTCTTCTGAGAACTCACATCTTCAATGACTTCTTCTCCTAGATCTGCAGCATCTAATCTGCATCCACGTGTAATCCGGGAAGTCATCAGAGTTCCAGAAATCACATTTAATGGACATTGACTTAAGACCTTTAAAATAGGTTTAAGTTGCTGAAGAGTAAATTTAAACTGAAGACACATAGAATGCATGATATATAATACATACTCTGAATACTTTCAAAGTCACTTGTAAATTTTCTCAATCTAAATACACGTTAGTGTGTGCGTGTGCACACACATGCAAATATTCATGCCTGGGCATGTAAGGAAGTCAGGGGTTGGATGTCTGGGTCTCTCACCGAACCCAGAACTTTCCATTTCATCTAAACTTGCTGGCCGAGACTCTAAGATCTGCCTGTCTCCACATCTTGTGCCCAGTGCTAGGGTTCAGAGGTGTGCCATCCTGACCATTTTTTATGTGGATGTTAGGGATCTGAACTCAGGTCTCATGCTCATGCCTAAATTACCTATTTCTAAGGCATGCTTTTTTCAAGTTGTATAACTTTAAGATGAATTTAACTTTGGGCATGTTGAACTTTGGGTGACCGCATGAGCGTCTGCACATGTGTGTGACACACACACGGAGCAGAAACAAAAGAAACAGTGGACCTAACATAGTGGGTAGAGTTTGCCAACTCCTGATACAAGTTAAACAATTTATGCGACCCACAGCTTAAGTCCTTTCTCCTACATTACTACTTTGAAGGCCACTTCAAACCATAGCAATCTCTCCCTGCTTGGAACATTAAATAATTTACTGTCTGGCCCATTAACAATACTTTTTTTTCTCGTTTGTTTGTTTTTTGGAGACAGGGCTTCTCTGTATGGCTTTGGAACCTGTCCTGGAACTCACTCTGTAGACCAGGCTGGTCTCAAAACTCATAGAGATCTGCTTGCCTCGGCCTCCTGAGCGCTGAGATTAAAGGCGTACATTAGCACACCCTGCTAACAATACTCATATCCTATATTATGGCTCTGTTGAAATACATAGTTTAACTTTGTTACTGCTTTAGCTCTTCTGGAACTCATTTACCGATCTAAGATTAATTATGTGGCCCCGATGCCTACCGAAGCTTAAATACCCCATGATTTAATCTTCATCTGTTGATGATAAAATAGAAATTTATCATGAGTTTAATGTTAGGAATGTGTCACACATTTCTATATTGACCACAGAACTTATAAAGTCCCTTGAATCCTGCCCAACCAACACTGCTTAAGTTGCACTAACACTTACTTGCAAATCTTCGAAGCAGGAGGACCAGTGATCATGCCATAGTAGTTAAAAGACACGGGAGCTGTAGCTTTTAAAGGGTTCCTATGAAACCAATGAGTCATTTTCTCAAGATGTCTTCTACAGGCCGAAGAGACATAAAAATTGAAGAAACAGTAAGTCAGAAAAAGACACAGTAAAAACTGGCTATTTTACAAGCTATATACACTTTATGCATAAGCTATTATACAAAAAATATACATATATAAGCATAATATGCCACAAATAGATTTTGTCTTAAATTGAGTCTATAATTAGATTATGTATAAGAAAATTAAGAACTCTGTGAGTCTGGCTAAAATGTGTTCTCACCAGTCTGGGAGAGAAGCTGAGATGCTGGTAGGGCTCCAGACTACACTTCTGAGAAAGCAAAGCCGAGACTTGGTTGGATAGCTTCAAACAAGAAGGTATAGGACCTGATGAGTCTCATTTCCTTAACACAGTCAAACGGATCCCCCCATAAACACTAAGTCTTCTGGAAATAAATAAGCTTCATATTAATTTCATTTTCCACATATTACTGGTGCTAAAGGACCTTGGTGGATACCTTGTGTTCTGTAATCAATTGATTGGGTGTTAAACTGCTAGGACTATTTTTATAATAAAATGTAAATTGTACAAAAACATTTGAAAAGCTCCCTCAATAAAATGTCAACCTGAAAAAATGTAGCATAAAGAAAAAAAGCAGCACTGTTTTTTTGTTTTGTTTTGTTTTGCCTAAAAGTTCCTGGGTAGGTAATGCATTTAGTAACACAAAAGGCTTCAAGCTGAATTCTCAAACATCTCATTAGATTCCAGAAGAAACACAGAAGCAATTCTGATAAGACAAATGCAATTTAAAGGCATTGTGCAGGTTTTCAATCACCTTTATTGGGGGAAAAGTGTGTGGAAGGATGTCGTGTTCTGAAATATCAACATTATGCATCACTCGGGTTAGCCCCACTCATGACAAAACCGGTTTTGGGAAGCAGCAGATAGTTAGTGAACAGAGAGAATGCATTTTATACTCAGGGGATGCCTGGGCAGATCCACTTAGGACTCAAAACACTGAATATGCCCCTTCAGAACATATTACCAAAAAAAAAAAAAACAGCGTCTATACATAACACCTTCAAAACCTACGCAAACGCAGCACTAAGTGCGCCTACCACACTCTAGGGAAATTTGTGAAAAAATAAAATAAAATTCCGCGACTGTTCCTGCTCCATCCTTCAAACACTTGGGTGACCTGGCACTTTTTGGGTCTCCAGACCTCAGAGGGTGGGGTCGAAGAACGACACACCCATCCCTCAGGAGCCTGCAGAGCCCCCTGTACAATCCCGAAAACAGAAGGTCACCTGCCAGACCTCCACGGGACGACCCAGCCTGCTGACACACCCCTCCGGACTCCGGAGCTCCCCGGAGCCTACCTGCAGTCTAGACACTGCTCGCGCCCACTTCCTGTTTACCGCCCGGCCTCTTCCTCCGGGTGTTACCGAGTCAGGGGCCGCGACCCCACACACCCGCCTCCTGACTCGCGATCGGCTCTTAGCGTAGCACAGCGATCCTGTCAACCTCGGAAGGCCAAGCAGATGATAGCCAAGCCACGGTTCTGTGTCTAGCAACCCCTCTAACATCCAAAGGGGACGCCGAGCGAGGAGAGTCGGCCGATCTGTTAATCCATCGATTCCTCCACTGTCTACCACCCAAGGGTCCATGGAAGCTCCCGTGAAGGGGGTGACCCTCCCACTGGAGTGCAGGGCCTCGAGGGGAGGGAGAGCACGGGCTCACGCGCCTCATGACAAGCTTACCGAGGACTTCAGAGTCGGTTCGCCACTCTTCCTGCTGGAGGAAAGGGAAGGCGGGACCGGAGTCCGCCAGCGAGACAAGGAAGGCGCCGGTAGCACCGAGACGACAGGGCTAGAGAAGCCGGAAGCGGGGCCAGCCGCTAGGAAGCGTCACGTGACTGGAGACCGTGACAGCCGCAGAGACGGCTGTGCGTGTCTCAGAGGGGCGGTTCCGCCGCGTTGCTGCGTCTGCCCGCCCTTTCTAAACTTCGTTTGCTTTTACCTCTCCAGATCCTGTCTGGGCCCTAGAGAGGGGAGCTGTGGCGGAGGTGGGGTGGGGTGTCCCCCGAGCCAAGGCCGGAAGCCGCCGTAACGACGGCCTCGGCGGGTCGGGGCGGCCTCAACCTAACTGGGGCGTGGCTTAGGGGGCGTGGCCTCGGCGGGGCGGCCGCCTTGGAGCCGCAAAGTTTGGCTGTGGCGGCAAATGGGTTTGGGCGGCTCCTCGGCGGGTGGCGGTGGTGGCCTTAGCGGTTCCTCCCGGCCCTGTTAATGCCAGGGCCAAGCCCGGGGAGGATGGCGCCCTAGAGCCCGACCTTGCTGGGGTAGGGGCGGGAGGGGGCCGGGGCGGGGACCGGCCATGTCGGAGGTGACCCGGAGTCTGCTGCAGCGCTGGGGCGCCAGTCTTAGGAGAGGCGCCGACTTCGACTCTTGGGGCCAGCTGGTGGAGGCGATAGACGAGTATCAGATGTGAGTGACTAACCGCGGGAACGGGCCAGGCAGGTCGCCACCCCTTGCTTCTGCCCAGGTCTCGCATCACTGTGTCCCGTAGCGCAGGCTTCTTGGGGTGCCCCCCCCGCAAGCATTAGGGCTGAGATCCGGCTGCTCGGGGACCCCCGTCTGCCCTCCGGGGAAGCTCTCTCCTCGTCCCTCTTTTACACAGGGCCGGGTCCATTCAACAGGTAGCTGGGGCCCTCACTGGCTCTCTCCTTCGTTCCCTTCAAGCTTCCCTCGGGACCTGGGCTCTGCAGGCAGTCTCCTTTCCTTCCCGCCGCCTCTCCCAGGTTGCCACCCCTCCAGGAGAAACAAAAATCTTGGAAAATGCCCAGGGAATACTTGTGTGCTCTCGGCCCGCGTTCCGGGGATGAGTGGCCGTGTTCTGCGTGTGTGTGTCCTGCACTCTCCACGTGTAGGAGAGGAGGGATGTGCTAGGGCGGGAGTGGAGGTTGTCCCCGGGAAGGCGAAGGGATGCCTCTCCTGCCGCGAGAAGGGTCCCTGCTTGCTCCTCGCCCTCCTTCTCCACCCCTCTGTCTGGTGAGCGGTGTTTTCTCAATTCCTGCTCGATTTCGTTTTCGATTTCTGGGACTGTTATTTGCTAGGCTGTGAGTCCCACCCACCCTCTCACTTGGCTGCTTTGGGTGGAGTCCGCGCAGGATGTGAATAGAGGGGAGCAAAATGTGAATTAATAGACCAGGCCCAGGAGCCGCCACTCCCTCCGTGGGTCCCTCCCCCTTTTCCTGTGTACAATGTATAGCCTCAGGGTACAAGTGAGGACTGGTTTCCTTCACCCACCCTAGTCTCATTATCTCTTTCTGGTTCTTCCACTTAAGCTTTAGACACTTAGAAAAGCTGTATAAACATCTTGGTTAGTTTCTTGGACTTATTACTAAAAGAAACTGCTCATTAAATGCTATTGTTTGCGAACTGTTACCATTAATTCTCGGTTTTAAAATAAATTCTTTGATGTTTCTCGAATTGTGAGACCATCCCCTTCGCTTTTTCTGGGAAGAATACAAGATTGATACTTGGGAGAATCAAAACTCCTATCCTTTCTCAACAATAGCTACTTGTTTTTGGCTAGGCCATGAGATAATTTGGATATATAGGTGTTCTCTGCCTGTCTTAAGTGACAGATCGTCTATAAATTCAAAAATTTAGTGCTCTGGGTGTTTTGCTATGGACAACTACTAACATGTATTTGAACTCCCAAGTGATTTCATTTGTTTTTGTAACTGCCCACTAGGCATAGAATTCTTTTTCTTTTTAACAAAATTTGAAAAACTGGGGTCACAATATGATACCTTTGAAATCTGGGGGGGGTTCTAATTTCAGTCCCTTTCTGCTGATATTTAAATTAACAATAAATTGCTTTGTTTGATTAAAACATTGATAGACAAATTCTGTAAACAAATTTCAAGAGTCCTTCCATTGTTGCAGAATGCACTCTTCTGTACCTTGATTGGGTAGCCTGCGAGGGTTTGTGTGTGTCACCATCTATAATAATTAAAGTGGCCTGAAATGCAAAGCTGCCTCTTGCTTGTGATGCAGTGAACCTAGCAGCTGTTGGGACTGGGCAGCAAACCTCCCAATGGAAAGTGAAGAATGCCATGTCTAATTGGAATTACAAAGGAAAATTGAATATGCAGGCTGCTTAGTGGGAATGAGAGTAACAGGCACATGCAGATCCTTTGTTGAGTCTCCATACTGGCCACTGTATTGGAGAGCTGCAGAGTACTACACTCTCCAGTTCTTATAAAACGGCACTGTCAGAGTCCAACAGAAATGTAGTGACTGGGCAAACTTTGTAATGTTCAGGCTACGCATAAATGAGGCCAAGAATTTACGTCTTCCTAATCTACCAGAAATAGAAACAAGTTGCCTTTTCTTATTTTTGAACACACTTTTTTGGAAGGAAAGACTGAAGCCAAGGAGGCCAATCGAGGACCGTGATAATAATGTGAACAATTACTTAGTCACTGGCTGGATATCAAGAAGCTCCCAAGGTCCCAATGAGGAGCGGAAAGAGGGAGAAGATGAGCAAGGAGGAGCGGAAAGAGGGAGAAGATGAGCAAGGAAGTCAGGACCACGAGGGGTGCACCCACCCACTGAGACAATGGGGCTGTTCTATTGGGAGCTCACCAAGGCCAGCTAGACTGTGACTGAAAAAGCATGGGATAAAACCGAACTCTCTGAACATGGCGAACAATGAGGGCTGATGAGAAGCCAAGGACAATGGTACGGGTTTTTTGTTTTTTTTTTTTTTTTTTCTTCGAGACAGGGTTTCTCTGTGGTTTTGGAGCCTGTCCTGGAACTAGCTCTTGTAGACCAGGCTGGTCTCGAACTCACAGAGATCCGCCTGCCTCTGCCTCCCAAGTGCTGGGATTAAAGGCGTGCGCCACCACCGCCCGGCTTGGATGTATTTTTGCACACAACACGTGTGCCTGGTGCCTTGGTATAGAAGTCAAAGAAAACTAGCAGGATCCAGTTTTCGCCTTCCCGGGGACTGACTCAGGTCATCGAGCAGTTTACCTCCTGAGCCATCTCACCTGCCTGTTAACAGTAGTTTTTTTTTGTTTTGTTTTGTTTTGTTTTTGTTTTTTGTTTTTTTCTTGTATCTGCAGAGTATCAGCCGGGAACTAGTGGAGAGAAATCCTGGTTCTTTGCTACAGATGGATGAGACACACTAATTTCTGTCTGTAGGGATAAAGTTCCTGTCAGTCACTTATGTGTTCCAGGTATATTTAAGACACCTCCTAAGAGCAGTCCTGTTTTACTTGTAGGCACCATTGTAGGATGAGATGAGACCCTAGAGAACTTTTAAAGGTTTATTTCTGTTTATGTGAGTTATGTGCACTTGTGTGTACAGTGGACGTTCTCCATCACTCCACTTTCCTTCTGAGAGGCCTCCCTGGATGTTCTCTGCTAGACTGAAAGCTATCCAGCCTCGGTGATCCTCCTGTCTCTGCTTTCTTGGTGCTGGTTATACAGGTGTGCTAGGGACTCCTGGCTAGTGGTGTGGGTGCCGGGGTTACAGGTGTGCTGGGGACTCCTGGCTAGTGGTGTGGGTGCCGGGGTTACAGGTGTGCCAGGCATGCCTGGCTAGTGATGTGGGTGCTGGGGTTCAAGCCCCAGTTGTCAGGATTGTGCAGCAAGTGTTCTTCACTGTGGAACCATCTCTCCAGCCCCTAGAGAAGACTACTGAACTATTTTCTTCCCATTGCTCATAACCAGTTTTTTTGTTCGTTCATCTGATTCTCCAGAGCATGTAGCTTTTCCTTCAGTGCACAGAATCAGGTCTCACCTTTAGGATTCCATTCACATGAAAATTTGAGTTTATGTATTTAAAAGATTAAAGTATTTTTGCCTGACTTTTAAAACATTAAAAAGAGAGAGAGAGAGAGAGAGTTTTTGTTGCCATTTGTTTTTTTAACTCCCAGTACTTGGGAGTCAGGCAGGCAAGTTAGAGTCTAGAATTTTCTACATAGCCAGTTCCAGGCCACCCATGGAGGACTACAAGGTGAGACCCCGATTCCAAACACAAACAACACCACCATCACCAACAAAAACTATTGAGGTATAACTTGTACACCACAAACTGACACATTTTGCATGTCCCAGCTGTGCAGTTGTCCCCACACGGCATTCAGGATGCCATCCTCTCCAAAGGTCCCTGTGCTCACTTGCGTTTGTGCCACATTCTTGACCCTCAGACAACCACTTACCTGTGTTTTGTCTTCATAATGTCTTTCCTGGACGTTTTGTGTAATGATTACCTAACGATGATTTTTAGCATAATATTTAAGATTCATTTAGCTTGTCTCACTTTTTGCTAATGAGCAAAAATGTTTCATTGTATAGGTGCATCACATTTCATGACCCTACTCAACTAATTAATGGACATTCAAGTTTTGATTATTATCAGCAATGCTGCCTTAACATTTACAGCAATTCTTTTTCAACATTAAATTTTATTTTTAATTGTGTGTGTTGGGGGGGTGTACACACGTGTGCAGGTGTCTGAAATTGGGAGACCAGAAGTTTGGGTCTCTTGGAGTTACAGGCACTTGTGAGCATAGGTGTTAGAAACAGAGCTCAGGTTCTCTGCAAGAGCAGTGTGCACTCTTAATCACTGAGCCATCTCACCAGCCCAGGTAATATGTGGACATGCATTTCCATTCCTTTTGAGGAGATAGATACCAATGAGAGGAATTGCTGGGTCTGGTGTTAGATGTGTGACTTTAAAGGAAACCTGTTGCACCACTGCCCAGAATATGGATGCCATTTCATGTTTCTGCCAGCAGTGGAAGGGTTTTTCTCATGTAGCTAGCATGTGTTCCTGTCTAATTACATCCCTTCTGGAGGGCATATAGCACACTCCACTGTGGTTTTAATTTACATTTCACAAATGACTTGTGGTGTTGAGTGTTTTTTTTCATACTTATTTTCCTTCTGTAAGTTTCTGTGTACCTTCCAGATCTTTCCTGCATCTTTTAAAAAATTGAATTACCTTGCACACATAAAGTTCTAAGGGTTCTTTATATATTCTGGATGTAAGTTCTTTATTTTTGTAATATATCTTCCTGGTCTGTTGTCTACCTTTTGTACATGAGATTCTCTTTGAATTTAGTATCTTTTCTATTGTTTGTTAGTATCGGAACAAGAATTTCAACCTGTGTTTTTTCTTCTGGTGATCACCCTACTTGACCTAATAACCGCAATTAGCAAATTATGTGTAGACTTACTCAGATTGAGCAACTGTGTCACAGTGTGATGCCCCTAAATTCAAGAGGCGTCACGTATAAATTTATATCATATAAATTCAGCATATAGTTGATTTATAATCCTATAAGCTGCATTTCTAGGAAGTACTTCATACCAATCAGCATGAGTCCTGAACAAGGAAAATGGCCATATTAGTCCGTGAAAGTCTTCAAGTAGCATTTAGGGAGAAAATATATTCCCAGCTTTGGGAGAAAATAAATCAATAGGTAGAAGCAACTACTCATCATTTTTTGTTTCAATGGGTTTATTATTATGGACTTTTCATTTGTGTGGAATCATTGCCATTTAATGTGGGTTCTTTCATTTAGCATATTTTTAAAGTTCATATTATAACATGTTATAATTTCAGCCCTCTTTACGACTGAATAATATTTCTTTTTAAAAATTTTATGTGTGTAGGTGTTTTGTCTGTATGTATGTGTGCCACATGTGTGCCTGGTAGCCACAGAGCTCCAAAGAGTATTTTGGACCCCCTGGGACTGGATTGACAGATGGTTGGGAATTATTATGTGTTGGGAGTTGAACCTGTGCTCTTAACTGCTGAGGTATTTTTTCAGTCCCAGTGAAAAATCTTTCATGCTGGGTGTTGGTGCAGGCCTTTAATCCCAGCACTCAGAAAGCAGAGTCAAGTGACTCTCTGAGTTTGAGGTCATCCTGGTCCACAGAGCGAGTCCCAGGACAGCCAGAGCTACACAGAGAAACCTTGTCTCAAAAAACAAACAGAAAAGAAAGAAAGAAAGAAAAAGAAAGAAGACGGTTTCATGAATGGGAATAGCACGTTTTATTTATTCACTCATTAGTGAGCATTTCAGTTGTTCCCACTTTTTGGTGATTATGAATAATGCATGTGTGTACAAGGATTTCATGTGAACGTATATTTTGAGGTTTTTGGATGTATACCTTTGTATGAAATTGCTGGGTCTTTAAGTCTGTAGTTAATTACTTGACAAACTACCAAACTTCTCCCTATGATTGGTACTGTTTCTGTGTTTTTACCTGCAGGGTATGAGGATCCTGCTTTTGTCCGTCCTCTTCAACACCTGTTATTTTCTCCCTTTGTTTTATGTTTTAAATCCTAGCCATCTTTGGCAGTGAAGGGGTAGCTTGTCATTTGGTAAGCGTTTTCTTATGACTAATGATATGAATCTTTTTGTCTTCTTAATGGCCATTTTTTTATTTCTCAAGAACCCTCTCCCTACCCCCATGTGTGTGCGTATGTGTGTGAAAGAGAGAGTTTTAAGTGTTGGTGCTTTTTGCTTTACTCTTTAACATATAGGTTTGATCCTTACTGTTGAACGTGGAGTAGAAACATTGATTCACCCTTGAAAACCCTCAGTCAGCCTGCTGTTTACATACATATGTATACCCTGTGTGTGGAGGTCAGAGGACAACTTGAGAAAGTTGGTTCCCTCTTTGTATCATGTGGGCCCTGGGGATCAAATCTGGGTCATCAGGCTTTGAGGCAGACACTGAGTCTTCTCACCAGCCCATAGCTGCCATTTTCAAAATAGATAATTGGGTAATCAGTGATTTCTATTTATGAATGGTGGAATTTTCTTTCCTCCAAAAACAATTACCTTCAAAAGCGGATTTTGATAGAGTATTCCCACTTTGTCATGGATGTAATTTGATTTTGGACTAACCAGCAAATCAATAATAAGTAGATTGATAAAAATATCTGTAGCTAGTAGAGCAGTTAGAGCTCAGCAGTAGAGTCTAAGTTGAATCTGGGTAGTTACAGAGGAGTCTGTTCAGGTCAGGGAGGGCTGGATTCCACACCCTAGGAGACCCCCCCCCCAGCCCTATCATTCTGCTTTTGCTCTCTTAGCTGAGGTTCTACCCAGTGACATGGTGTGAAAAGTATTGTAGCACATTCAGAGTGCTTCTAAGGCTGAAGAAGACTGACATGATCACAACAAAGCATGGTGTTTCCTTGTTTTTAAAAAATTAACCTGTATCATCTTGCTGCTGTTAAAAATAGCTTGCTCACTTTCAGTTCTGAATAATGTTTTCTTCTTACAGATTAGCAAGACATCTACAGAAGGAGGCCCAAGCTCAACACAATAATTCTGAATTCACTGAAGAGCAAAAGGTACCGTAAAACAGTCTCTGGTGCATCTGATTACAAATAAAAACGAAAGGGTTTCTATCTTTTCAGTCCAGTAAGCAAGATACACCACACACACACATGCATGCACGCATGCTCTTCTGTCTCTGTCTCTCTCTGTCTCTCTCAAGCTTAAGTTAAAAACAAAACAAACAAACAAAAAGACAATTGATTGTGTTTTGCCTGATAGTAAGTGGTCATTTGGAGATGACCTACCATTTATTTAGTCAGCCATTCTCACTTTAAATAAGGTGGGGAAACCTAGACTGTACTACAGTCACCTGGGGAAGCAAGGTTATGAATAATTACATCTCACTTCACACTTAATTCTTTCTCTCAAAATAAGCCAGTAAGCACCTCACAACCCCCAAATTAAACCAAAACCAAATAACAAAAAGTGTAAGACTAAAAAGAAAACAGAACAGATTAAGAATTATCTGGCCTCTTAGCCAAGTAATGATGGTGCTCACCATAAATCCCAGCAGTTGGGAGGGCAGATGTAGCATGAGTAATAAAAACCCAGAGACAGATATTGAGTTCAAGCTGAAGATCAGAAAAGCAAAACAGCCAGTCACTAGAGAGATCTGACCTATACCAAGGCTCAGACAAACATAGGGACGATCCTGCAATGCTTTCCACCAACCTCAGATTCCACCCTCCACTGAGTTCCTGTCTCTTCCCCTTTATATTCCTCTCTCTGCCCAGCCAAATACTGCTCCTGTCTCCACCTCCCTAGTGCTGGGATTAAAGGCGTGTGATCCCAAATGCTAGGATCACCTTTGTGTGAGTTCTGTTTCTCTTTTAGATGGACGGTAACAAAACTCACTGGGCCCAGATGTCTTCATGAGATGAGAGATTAGAGTCCTGCAGGACCTTGAAAGACACTCTGTCCCTAAAGCTCTAATAGCTTTACCTAGGAGGTTTCACTTTATCCCTGGACGCTGGATTTCTGAGACAATTATTACTTAGAATGCTTGCCAGCAAGCCTGCTGTGAGCAGACAGAACCTGGGCCTGCCTGTGTCTTGGCATCAGACCTCATATCTACATTATGTGCTACATTATGAATGTAAGTCAAGCTGTACACTTCTAAATGTTCAATTTTCTTTAAAAATTCAAGTGAAACACACACAAATAAAGCCATAATAGGCTTTATTTGATTGTCACATAGGGAAGTAGTTGTCAGTTAAATGTTGTGTGTGGCCCATAAGCCACAGGATAAAAAAAAAAAAAAGCCTGTATGGCTGACGACTGTTTTGCATTCTGTTCTTCAGACAAGCTTTATTTAATATAACACAAATAAAATATCACTACAAAAATATTTCTTTTATTTCTGAGATTATGATATACTATCATCATTGCCACTTTCCTTTCCTCCCTCCAAGCCCTCCCATATACCCCTCCTTACTCTCTTTCAAATCCATAGCCTCTTTTTTATTGTTATTGCTTGCATATGTGTATATTTATATGCATACATATTCCTAATTGTAATGTGCTCACCGTCCATAATATCACTTACATGTGTGTTTTCAGGGCTATTGGGTAACCAGTTGATGTGCTCTTCTCTGAGAAAGACCACCTTGCTTTCAGTGTTCCTTAGTTGCCTTAGTTCTTTGTGTAGCATAGGGGACCTCATGGTCTTTTCTCTGTCTACTTTTGCACGTTTGTTGTTGTCTTTGTTAGCTTATATATTTTTGGGTTTTTTATCATGATGTAGCCCTGTCTATCTTGAAACTAACTATGTAGACTAAAATGGCCTTTAACTCACAGAGATCTTCTTGCCTCTACCTCCTGAGTGCTGGAATTAAAGGCATGCATCACCATGCCTAGAAAGCTTATTCTTATTCAGGCCCTTTCATGGTTATTTACTTAGCTTTCATTTTAGTTCCCAATAATTTGGTTATTATGACAACTGAGTATAATAACTAATAGAAAGCTGCCAAATGCTTCATTCCATTGAATTCCTTCATGGTGTCGTAGGTTTTCTCATGTGAGTTTCTGCATAGAAATGATCATCTTGTCCCATGATGCTTAGAAAGCTTTTTCCTGTTTTGAGTCAAATTTAGTGGTAACAGTACTATATACGTGTTGTATATTTTTAGGGTCTCCCTTTCTATCTCTAACCGTCTTGCTACCCCCATCTCTTCACACATAGTCTGTCTGTCTGTCTCTCTCTCTCTCTCTCTCTCTCTCTCTTTCTCTCTCTCTCTCTCTCTCTTACTAGACAGAAGATGACTAGTTATTTAAAGTCTGGATTAGCTGAGAGTATATTTTTTACATATATTTCAACTGATTTTTCCCTTATATAGATTGAATACATTATAGCACAGTTAATTTATTTCTTTAATTGACTTTTTAAAAATGTTTTCTCCTAATTGTTCCTTTTAGCTGTCAATTTTCTGAGGAAATGGCAAAGTAAAATAGCATTTATCTAGACTTTCTATACTGTATTAAGTATGAACAATTAGTTTGCATGAATGTTAATAATTTAAATCTAAAATTTGACTTATCTTACCTTTTGTGCTTAGTTTTTTGGGGGAATGGGGTCAGGGACAGTTGAGACAGAGCTTCTCTGTATAGCCCTGGATGTCCTGGAACTCTGTAGACCAGGCTAGTCTTGAACTCAAGAGATCTGCCTGTCTCTGCCTCCTGAGCGTTGGAATTAAAGTTGTGCACCACTATTGCTATTTGCTTAGTCTTTTTTATTATTGTTATTTTAAAATTTAATTACTAGGGAAAACAACATTCAGGAGCTGGTTCTCCCCAGCCTCACCTCTCAGGTTGGCAGACTTGCATAGCAAGCACAGTTACCTCTTTTATTCCCTGAGCCATCTGGCTCCCCAGTGCTTAGTCTTATTGAACTTGAACTCTGACCTGCTTAGACTTGAGCTCTCTAATCATTTATCTGTGATATTTCAGTGCAGCACACCATTTTGACATCAAGGGCATCTACATGTTTTTAACTTACTACCACAGCTGGAAGGATAGTGTCCTACTTCTTTTTTAATACTGAGATTGGGTGTCATTCATTAAAATAGTTATGAATAATGCCTACTGATATTTTTGCTATAGTGCACTGCATTTCTGTATAAGAGACTCTTGGTTCTATAAAAAGTTTATATTTAAGAGTTTATTAATGAGCAAGTTGCTAAACTACATTTTAATCTTAGGTGTTAAGTGTATGAAATTAAGTAGATTTTGTAATAAAGAAGAAAAGGAAGTAGACACTATCATTTTTAAACAATTAGTATATTAATATATCTCAGTGCAGATAGAATTCTTTTAAAAATTTAAAAAACATTTTATTTTGTGTTTAACGTTTTGTCTGTATGTATGTCTATGCACCACTTGCATGCCTAGTGCCTACAGAAGCCAAAAAGGATTTTTTTTTTTTTTTTTTGATTTCTGCATTTGGAGTTCCTGCTGCCAAGTCATTTATGGGCCTTAAATCTGGGTTCTCTGCAAGAACAACCAGTACACTTTAACTACTGAGCCATCTCTCTAGTCCTTAGAATTATATATGTATTTATATGTGCACGCATGTGTGTAAAAAGTTGTATCTAAATATAGAACTTTACTTTTTCAAAACTTTCTCTTTGAACTGTGCATCACCCTTCTAAACTGAGTTTGGTTCTGAGGCATGTCTCACTGTATCTGGGTAAGGTGTGTAAGCTCCCGTTGTTGGAGTTTGTAGACTTTCATGCCCGTGCTTTATACTTTGTCACATAGGACATGATCTTATTGGCCGAGTCATTAGTGTCCATTTTATATCTTGTTATAGAAAGTATCTGACTGTCAAATTCTTTGCTATTTATTAGATACTGATTTTTGTATTATGTGTGTATTTAAATAAGTTAGGTTTGCTTTAGTCAGATTTCATTATGATAATGTGCTAATGACTTAAGAAATTTTAAATCTTTTGGTGAATTATAGGCTGAATGGAGAAGAAATAGGAAAGTTTGGTAGGAACTATGCCACTGAGCATTTTTCATTGACATTCTTTTTGGAATATTTGAATTTATTATTTAATTAATGTGTGTATTTATTTTTGTGACAGAACTCAAGTGAGAACAGAGTGACCTTGAAATCACAGAGTTCTACCTGCTTCTAATTATCTGGAAGCTGGGATTAAAGGCGTGTGCCACCATGCCCAGCTATTTAAATTTAACTCACACAGAAAGACATTACAATTGTACATATTAACAAGCAATATGATTTATTTGTTTGTTTATTTGTTTATATCTTATTGAGACAGTTTCTCACTGTGTAGCCCTGGCTGTCCTTAAACTTGCTATTTGCAGCAGGCTGATCATGAACTCACAGAAATCACCTGCCTCTGCCTCTAAAATTCTGGGATTAAAGAAAGTCATGGGTGGACCAGCATGCCCTGTTGATAAGACTTTTTTGGTACATTTATCTATTGTGTGACACTTAAATCAAGTTAAACTTGCGTGCTCAAACATTTATTATCTTTGTAGTATAAAAACATTCAAATTCCTTTTTTTTTTTTTTAAGTCAAGCTTGTGTAGCCTAGGCCAGCTTAGAATTTGCTGTGTGGCTAAGGATGACTTTGAATTCTTGGTCATGCTACCGCGTGAGTGCTGGGATTTGAGGGCTGTGCCCTGTGTCTGGTTTTAGCCTGTCGTGCTAGGGATTGAGCCCGGGACTTTGTGCATGTCAGGCGAGCACTCTACCAACCACACCACATCCTGGCCTTTCGGGTTCTTTCTTTGGATTCTGTGAAGTGTGCCATATCCCACTGTGTGGTGATAGCACAGCAGACTTTCTCACTCCTGTCTTACTGTAACTTAGCACTCCTTTGCCATCTTTTCCCTCTCCTCCCTTCCTCTGTCTCTCCGCAGCCTCTAGCTACCCACTCTGTCTGCTCAGCTTGTTAATGTTCCAGATGAGTGAGAGTGTGTGGTCCCTGCCTTTCTGTTCCTGACTTACTTGGCTTAGCTTGATCCCTAATCCCAAATGATGGTCTTTCTTGTCCTATTGTATGGACGAGCACATTTTCCTTATTCGTGTGTCAGTCAGTGGATACTTAGGGGTCTTTCTGGTTTGTGGCAACTGAATAGGACTGCAGGAAACAAGAGAGTCTAAATATCTCTTGAACATACTGATGTCATGTCCTTTGTTCACCGAGGAGTAGGCCTTCTGGGCCATATGGTAGTTCTACTTTTAATGTTTTAATGATTTTTTTGCATTTTATGTATGTGTATGTGAGTGTTTATGTATGTATGTGCGTGTGTGTGGATGTATGGGCCATCGCATCCATATAGACATTAAAGGATAACTTGTAGGTCTTTTCTTTGATCATGCATGTTCTGGGGATTGAACTCAGGTCATTAGTCTTGGCAGCAAACACTTGCTAGGCCATCTTGCCAGCCCTAATTTTAATTTTGGAGGGAAATTCCATATTGGTTTCCATTATTAACTGTATTCATTACCCTTTAAATCATGTTCAAAGCTGTTACCAAAGTGACCTTTACTGAGAATTGTTTGTGGGCTGTTACTGTGGAGAGTACACACAGACCTCATCTCAGACCTTTGCGTCCTGCTTTTCTTCTCTTGGGTCTACCAGATGCTACAGAAAAATGAGATTTAACTTGTTTAAAAAAAAGCCTCTTACTGATAAAAATTACCCGATATTATTTTATAGTATAGTTGTTTTTTATCTCCCTACAGAGAACCATAGGCAAAATCGCCACATGTTTAGAATTGCGAAGTGCAGCGTTACAGGTAAGTAGAGGTGTTCTTAGCTTTCTGACATGATTGTTCTGCTGAAATAGTAGACATTCGTACTGTGTCATCTCAGGGGAGTTTACAGCCAAGGGAATTCCTCAGTAACACGCACACTCACAGGGTTTGGTTCATATGTTGTAAACTATAGCAATCAAAGATGTCGCTTTAATTTTTTTTTATTGCATTTAGCCTTAATATACTGGGAATTTAAAACAAACAAAACCCAGTTTGGAACTTTTTGTTTCCTACCTTGAAAGCAAGAAATAGATTTTGAGTCACTTTGAATTTTTGGTTTTACCACTTAAGAGACATAGGGTACAGTGAAATCTTTGTAGTAAAAAGATGTAATGTGCATATTTTAAATTTAGTCCACACAGTCCCAAGAAGAATTTAAACTGGAGGACCTGAAGAAGCTAGAACCAAGTAAGTGTTTTCTTCTGGTGCTCTTGTCATCTCTTTAGGGAAATAATTCATGGTAGATGTTAACACTGTTTAGCATAGATGGTGGTTTTCTCCTGATACCTAGCTATGTAACATCTTTTTAGTCCTTCTTAAATTCCTGCAATATTTGTAGTAGTTATAATTTGGTGTAAATATCTATTAACCTTTATTTTGTTTTGGTGGCTTTAATAAGATTGGTTTCTTTGACAGACATTTACAGCAGAGTCTAAGGAGGAAGATAAACTACAGTCAGTGATGCCAGTCAGTTTACATGGCATGAGAACTGTGGCCCATGCTGCGAGATTCTTGCTTGTGGCGTTTATTTCTTTCCTTTTCCTCTAAAACTTTCTGAAGTAAATAATTTCTTTAAATATTTTGGTGGTTAAGATGCTGCCTGAAGGCCACTACCACTCCTTTTTTTTTTTTCCTTTTTTGCTGATTCAGATGAATGTTCTCTTTCTTGAAATGTCTGCAGTATGGGCAGAGGTAAATATGACTGAGCAAACCTTAGCCAATACCAGCAAGGCAGGATTGCATGGTTTAACATGCTTTTGTAGACAGGGAAGAACAGCTTTCAGACCCATCTGTTAAGGCAGATTCTAAGTAAGGAATCAAAATCGTGGCATCTTAGAAAGAATCTTGCTTTATAGTTGAAGAGGAGATGAATCGGCTGTGTTCCACTGCAGCCCCTGGCAGCTGGCAGAGCTTGAATCATTGCAGTCCTTCTGGTGTCTCCACACCTTGTGTGAGAGGTGAAAGGACTAAAGAGATGTTCATATCAACTTCACAAGCTGCCGATTCCCTGCTCATGTGACCGAGGAAGTGGGAACGCGCTTGTAATGGAAGGACCAGGCTCCGAGGTTTGCGGCGTCTGTGCTCAGCAGGGTCAGATTTCTGTTGTTTTGCTTGGATTGGTAGAGAGAAGCAACAAAAACACAGAAACACAGATCTGCTGTGACTCTGGCTTTTCCACAATTGTTAGATGATCATATTTCATCTCTTCAGAGAAGGTTCTTCTCCATATGGCAAGAATTAGAATGAACTGTCATTTTAATAGTTTTGGTGTTTTATGTAATGCAGACATAACCTTTTTGTTACAAGAACTGTAATTTTATATTTCTAAGTAGTTCTTACCTGTTCTCAGTGAATATAGAAATGCCAATTAAATAATGTAAACATTTTTAATTTTTTCTGATCACATTTTCTATGAACTTTTATGGTTTCTTTTAAAAACGTTAACAAATACTTTATATACGTTTTTATTGGTAGCTTCAGTGAATGCTATTTAGAAACCATAAAATTCACTAATTTAGAGTTATAATTACTCATTTTTATTGTCTTGACAGTGTATTGTTGTAGTAAGGGCGGTGGGCTGCATCCCCGGCACCCGGCCGCCCGCACGGCTAGCTTTACCCGAAATAATTACACAGAAACTGTATTCTCTTAAACACCGCCTGGCCCATTAGTTTCAGTTTCTTATTGGCTAGCTCTTACATATCAGTCTAATCCATTTCTATTAATCTGTGTAGCCCACGAGGTGGCTTACCAGGAATGATCTTAACCTGCGTCTGCCTGGAGTGGGAGAATCATGGCGACTCCTTTACTCAGCTTCTTTCTCCCAGCATTCTGTTCTGTTTACTCCACCCACCTATGTTCTAACCAATAAAATGGGTCAAAGCAGTTTCTTTATTGCTTAACCAATGAAATCAACAGATTGATATATGACACTCCCACATCAGTGTATAATTTCCATAGTCAATTTCAGGGTATTTTCGCCACCCTGAAAAGAAGCTCTGTATCCACTAGCATCACTGGTTCTCTCATTCAGATTCTGACCCTCTCCAGTCACCAGGTCTAGGCAACCACTAGTTTGTCTATAAATTTGCCTAAGTCTGAACATTTTACACAAATGGAATAATATATGGTCTTCCATGACTGGCTGTGTATAAGATATTTTGGAGAAAAGCACATTGATGGCTTTAATTAAAGATTCTAACTCTGAGACTGGTGTTCTCAATGGTAGAGCACATAGCCAGCGTGTGTGAGGAGGCATCCCCAGAACCACAGGGAAACAAACAAATGCAGCAAGCTCACAGCTGCCTTCTTTCTCCCTGCATTCAGTTTAGTTTTCCTGTCTTGCTCTATTCTGCCCTGTCCTACACAAAAGTAGCTTCTTTATTAACCAATGGTAAAAAAAAAACAAAAAAACATATTTATAGCATAAAGGAATCCCACATCACTATAAACTCAGCAAATTTGTGCTGTATTCAGTAGATTTGAATGAACTGCAAGGGGATGACAAGTCCATTTTTTTGTGAGTTTGAGAGGCTGGGGATTGATTCTCAGTAAGAGAGGACACTAAAGGTGTCAGAATAGTAAAAGTTCATAAAACTGAATGGTCCTCAGCTGCTGGTGCAAGACTGTAAAACACTTAAAAAGTGAGGCCTGGAACTAGCAAGGTGGCTCAGAGTATAAAGACACTTGCCACCAATCCTGACTACTTGAGGTCAATCCTCGGGACCCACATAGTGGAAGGAAAGAACCTATTCCCAAAAGCTGTCCTCTACCGTGCATGCACACAAAATACATAAAATGTAACAAGAAGAAAAAACAGTGAGTCTTGCCTGATGGAAGCAGGCCATAGGGACATTCCTGTGGTTGGGGTGTACATAGGAGTGCATGTGCTTTCAGAGGCCACAACAGGGTCTCATCCATAGGAACTGAAGTTAGAGATGCTTGTGAACCACCCTGAGTGGGTGCTTGGAACTGAACTGTGTGGTTCTCTCAAAGAATAACACATGCTCTTAAACGCAGAGGCATCTCTCTAATCCAAGTATTTCTATTCCAAAGCACTAATACCTGAAAAAAAGAAGTGTACAAAAAGCAAAATATTTGCAGCTGTGGTGTCTTAGGGTTTTACTGCTGTACAGACCCCGTGACCATGGCAACTCTTATAAAGGAAACATTTCATTGAGGGTCTCCCTTACAGTTCAGAGGGTCAGTCCATTATCATCATGGCAGAGAACATGACGGTGTGCAGGCTGGAGGAGTAGTGAGAGTCCTACATCTTGCAGGCAACAGAAAATCTACTGAGACCCTGGGTGGTATCCTGAGCATAGGAAACCTCAAAACCTACCCCCACAGTGACACACTTCTCCAACAAGGCCAAAACTACCCTAACAAAGTCACACCTCTTAATACTGCCACTTCCTTTGGGGCCATTTTCTTTCAAACTACCACATGCATGCCTGTAATCATTCCACTTTGAAGGTGGAGGCGGGAGGATTAGGAATTAAAGTTTAACCTCAACTATGTAGTGAGCATAAGGCCAGCCTGGGCTACATTAGACCCTATGTCCTCTCATTTTCCGAAGGGAAAACATTCTTTGTAACCGATTTAGCTTTCAGTGTCTTTCACATATTTTAAAGGTTGATTTTTTTCCCCTTTTATTATTAGAAAATATGGCTTCTGTGTCAACTAATATTAATGACAGTGTCATTCTCTCTACCGTATGATTAACTGCTATTTACTGAGTTAACAGTTTACTATAATCGTAAAGTATTGACAGAGGTTTCTGTCCCGCCCAGTCCCGCAGCCATTCAGTCCCAAAGAAACACACAGAGGCCTACGCTAATTATAAACTGGTTGGCCTATTAACTCAGGCTTTCTTATTAACTAACTCTTACATCTTACATTAACCCATAATTCTTGTCTGTGTTAGCCGTGTGGCTTGGTACCTTTTTCAGTGAGACATTCTGATCTTCCTCTGCATCTGGGTGATGACTGCAGACTGAGCCTTTCCTCTTCCCAGAATTCTCCTGTTCTGGTTGCCCCACCTATACTTCCTGCCTGGCTACTAGCCAGTCAGCATTTTATTTAACCAGTACAGGTGATAAATCTTTACAGAGTACATTACCGTTGTCCCACAGCACTTCTCCCTCCTTTTTTTCCAAAACAAGAACTCTGAATCTAATTTCCTTTGTTTAGCTTTTTTCCTGACCATTATCCATAGCAATTTGTAACTAACACTCTAAACAAAGACAAACATCCACAATCCATTTTTTGGGAATATGGGTGTAGTTTTCTAGGCTACTTCCTGCTGATTGGGGTCGCTTATAATCTTTTGGGGAACTAAAGAAAATTTAAGATATGGTCAAGTCCTGACTGGAATATTCTTTGAGCTTGATCATCTCAGGCAGCAATCTTGAGGCTGTTCTTGATTTCAGAGGAAACTCCAACAGAGGTCCTCTGACATGTTGGATCATCTGGGAAATCTGCTCTCATCAGAGATTTTTCAGAGGGTCTTCCTTATTCAAACCTGATTTTTCTTAACCCAGAACAAATCCACAACCTCCCATTTCCTCTGGAAACAAAAACAAAACCTCTTCTCCAAAGTATCTTTTGACTTAAAATTTGAAGTCAAGGCACTTTCTTTTTTTTTTTTTAAGGCACTTTCAAAATATATGTTGGATTAATCTAGTAACATTTATAATCAAATGTCTTTTAGCATCTGTTGGTCCTTCCTCAGTCATCAGACAATTCAAAGACAACAACATACAGTATCCAAACTCTGTATATTTTCCATCTTCACATCACTTTATTTTATTTTATTTTTTTTAAATATTTATTTACTTATTATGTATACAATATTCTGTTTGTGTGTATGCCTGCAGGCCAGAAGAGGGCACCAGACCTCATTCCAGATGGTTGTGAGCCACCATGTGGTTGCTGGGAATTGAACTCAGGACCTTTGGAAGAGCAGGCAATGCTCTTAACCACTGAGCCATCTCTCCAGCCCCCACATCACTTTATTTTAAACTCTATTTCTTTTATTTTTAATTTTTGTTTTGATTTTTGTTTTAGAGATAGGGTTTCTCTTTGTATCTTAGGCTGTCCTGGAACTCACTCTGTCTTTGAACTCACAGAGATCCACCTGTCTCTGCCACCCAAATGCTGGGATTAAAGGTGTGTGCCACCACGCCCAAGGACTTTATTGTTTTTCTTTTTTCTCCCAAGCGTACATATATTTTTAAGCACACTGTAATGTGTTCAGAGGTTTTTTTTATCGTCTGGTTCTATCTTACTGTATATCTTTCTTTTTCTCACCACATGAGTCTTTAATTTGCTAAGCAGTATGGCTAAAATTAAAGCCATGGCTTTGACAGCTGGATCCCCCCTCCCCCATTCCTTAGCTTTCTGAGTGTCTAGCTTCATGTCAGAGGTACTGACGGGAGCCATGTTTATTACCACAACTCTATGAAGTTTTAAAGTCCCTGCCACCACCAAGAAGCATGCTGTCAGCTATTCATAAACACCATTTAAGTGTTTGGTGGTGGGACCTCTTAAAAGAGCTGCAAAGTTTTTGCAGCTAAAGCTGAGTCAGGAAGCCTCTCTTAAATTAGATGCGTTCCCCTAGCAAACAGAGTCCACCTGAGAAAATGCTGCTACCAAGAACCATGCTTAACTCTGTTCTTTTGTGTCTAGAATTGCTTCCCAAGCTCTCTCAGATTTTATGTTGATGTAGTTGGCCATATTGGCTCCATTTGTTATCCATCTTCAGAAGGGATGTTACTATGCTTTGAAAAGGCGGAACTCTTTGTGAGGCAGGAAACACTAGGATTCTAGTCAGTCACAATGGAAAGCCATGGCAAATAGTAATTCAAGCATAACAGTGCAGGTTTCTGCTTACTCTTTTTTTAAGCACTGAGACCCAAAAACAAAGAAAAATGAAAAAGACATTTATAAAATACAGATACAGCTGAGTATGGTCGTGTTCAACACTTCAAAATTTCCCCTGCATCTCATATATATTCTTTAATTTTAGTTCACTCTGTAGTCTGTAAAGGAAGTGGCATTTCCATTTTAGGACTGGAAAAACTAAGTAATTTACATGACTTTAGAATAGTTACACACTTTTGTTGTTGGAATTGCAGGGCAGACGTTTTATTTAAACCACTTTGGTCTCTGATAGTCCTTTCTTGCTTGTAAACTTTCTATTATTTGAAGAAGTCAAACCTTGCTGGATGTGGTGGGGCATGCTTGTTCAAGAGGCTGAGGTGGGTAGATTGCCATAAGTTACATAGTGAGTTCTAGGCTAGGTTGGGATATAGAGTGAAACTCTGTCTCAAAAATAGCAAGCCCCCCAAAACTCTACTTCCTTCTCTGTGCCTTTTTTGCTCTTGTTTCTCCAGTACTGGAAAGTTCCAACCCTGCAGTGACTGTGGGTGATGCCTCTATCCTGGGTCACAGCTCCAGTGTCTTCTGACAACAGTTTTGGACATTGACCCTGTGGGTTCCAGCTGCTCCACTGTTTCTGTGTGTCTGTCCTAACAGTAGCCACATTTACACATTAGCTTATCTACTATCAGCATCCATGATCTGCTTTTCTTGAGTTTGGTCTAAGGTCCAAATGGGAGTTTTGGCTGAGTGTATATCTCAACCTCCAACCTACCACAGCCAGTGTACAAGTCTAAAGACTTCACTTCAGGATGAGCTCTAGTCTGTCTAGATCTGTAGAATGTTAATGTAGGTAATAAGATTTTATTATAAGAGAGTCATCAGAAGAACAACCTTTCTGTTGCACATCTTTCCAGCTTTATGCTGTTGAGGGGACATTTACTCAGGACAGAATAGAGCAGGATGTGTTGCTCCTCCCCTGTCCTCTGTGATGCTGCCATTTAATATACATGTGTATATTATCTGGTCTGTTGGGTGACATGTTTGTTGTTTGTTTCTCATGAGTTTGGTTTAAGATCCTTCTAAGAGTTCTTGATCACGGTGTATCTAAGAGTCCTAACATTGTGGTCACTAAGTACACAGTTACTGAGAAAAAGTAAGATAGTAGGAGGATGAAGGCAAGCTAAAGAGAAAGAGTATAAACCAAAGAGAACTGTGACTTCTGACATTTTTTTCCCACACTGGATTCTATAAGTGCACATATAAGAAGTTGGGTAAAAACTGGCAATCATTGGAGCATGTCGTGCAATTGCAACCTGTGCCCTCTGGATACCCTCTTTAGAGGCTATTTGCTAAGTACCAATATGCCCTACCTCTTTCAGCTCTGAACTATGTGACTGCAAAATTAAAGGCTGAGTGTATTGAGCACTAAGTTCCAGGTGCCTTTTATGTTGTCCATTTCATGCTGTGGATTCACCTTCTTGTAATTTGCAGCTTGTTACTGGGACCCTTACATAAGGGTGGAAATGAAACACTGAATTATAGACTTAGAGTAATTCTGTAGACCCAGCAGCATTGCAGAGCATCTTCCTCCCTCTAAGCTCACATGCTCAAAGGGAGCTGTGAATGTAACCACAGGCAGGACACAGGTACTACGTGGAGTACAGAAGTCTCCATGCTGTCTGGAGACTTCTCCTTAGGATTTATTCTACTGTGTCTATGTCTGTAAATATATAGACATAAGCAGTAAATTTTATCATAAAAGGAGATGTATAACTGCCAACATAAACCATATCAGTTTGGTAACATCCTGGAGAAAACTCAAAACAGATGAAGATATGCTCCTGTATCTCTTTAATTGTCATCTTTGATGTCAGGAGGACCCTGCATCTCACCCAGGATCTTGTACACATTAGGATATGTTTTGGTGACCTAATTTTCTCAGACTTTCTGCAAACAAGTATAGTGGCTCTGGAATGATAATCTGGGAATTTGAAAATATGTTTAAATGTTCATGGTAAAATTTATTAAAAACTAGCTCTGTGAGCTAAAATTTAGTTTTTTATAGAAGAATTCATGTTTCCGCTGGGTGACGGTGGCACACGCCTTTAATTCCAGCACTCAGGAGGCAGAGGCAGACAGATCTCTGTGAGTTCGAGGCCAGCCTGGTCTACAGAACAAGTTCCTGGACAGGCTCCAAAGCTACACAGAGAAACCCTGCCTTGAAAAACTAAAAACGAAAAAAGGAAGAAGAATTCATGTTTCTTTGTCTTTTTATTGCAGTCCTGAAGAATATCCTTACATATAATAAAGAATTCCCATTTGATGTTCAGCCTATTCCATTAAGGTAAATAAGTATTTATATTCATCTTCTGCTCTTGCTGTCCTCTTTATACCCACTTTTCGGTTATGTTTGTTATTGTTTTATCCACTTTGGTATCTTTGATATGATCGACACCAACACTGGTAACAATATGTTAAACTCTTATAATACTCAGCATCCTGTGGAACAGCTGTGAGGTCTTGTTGGTGTATTAAGTATTCTAGTTCATTGTTTAGTTTTTTTTTTCTCTCTCTCTCTTCCATGTAGACGAATTTTAGCACCTGGTGAAGAAGAGAATTTGGAATTTGAAGAAGATGAAGAAGGTGGTGCTGGAGCAGGCCCTCCTGATTCTTTTTCTGCTAGAGTTCCTGGTGGGCATCCTTACACAGAACATGCACTGCTTTATCCAGTGGGATACTTGGTCTGCTAATGCAGCGTAAAACCTTTCCAGAGCCCTTGCTATAAATTGAGTTCCATGGCCAGGCCACTGTCTGTGGTTATCTCAGCACACAGTGTGAACTTCTCCAGAGCCCTTACCAACTGTAAGCTAAGTTCATTGGCTGGGCCGCTGTTTGTGGTTATCCCAGCACATAGTGTGATAGGGCCATCTGTGTTAGTGGTCCTCAGAACACATGTTAAGTGATTCACCAGGATTCACAGCTAGAAGCTATGCACGAGAACACAGGAGGAGAATTAGCCAAAGGAAAAGGCATATGGACCAAATTAGAGGAAAATGGGTACAGAGTCCAAAGCCCCTTCCCTGTGCTGCCAGCCACATAGGCAGTATTTAATCCCTACTCTATCAAGTTGTGACAGCATTGTGAAGGGTGAATGTCTACTTAGAGATTTAGCACACAGAACTGCTGTTGTTAATTGATCACAGAATCATTTTCTACCTACTATAGACCAAAATTACAGATTTCAGAAGGAAAGAGTGTTCAGCACAAGCTATACTGCTCACATAGTTCAGGTATTGTAAGATGAGCAGGACAGATAGAAATCCTCGTCAGATCTAAGATCCCTATACTGCTCACATAGTTCAGGTATTGTAAGATGAGCAGGACAGATAGAAATCCTCGTCAGATCTAAGATCCCTATACTGCTCACATAGTTCAGGTATTGTAAGATGAGCAGGACAGATAGAAATCCTCGTCAGATCTAAGATCCCTATACTGCTCACATAGTTCAGGTATTGTAAGATGAGCAGGACAGATAGAAATCCTCGTCAGATCTAAGATCCCTATACTGCTCACATAGTTCAGGTATTGTAAGATGAGCAGGACAGATAGAAATCCTCGTCAGATCTAAGATCCCTATACTGCTCACATAGTTCAGGTATTGTAAGATGAGCAGGACAGATAGAAATCCTCGTCAGATCTAAGATCCCTATACTGCTCACATAGTTCAGGTATTGTAAGATGAGCAGGACAGATAGAAATCCTCGTCAGATCTAAGATCCCAAGTGCCAACCTGTAGCCAGAGGCTTTTCTCTGTTCCACCTGGTCCCGCTGGACTGGTTTCTCTCCCACCCATTGGTCCCCTACAGCTGCTTATAAAATAATCATTCAGAGGCTTAATATTAATTATAATTGTTTGACCGATGACTCAGACTTATTATTAACTAGCTCTTACAACTTAAATTAACCCATTTCTATTAGTCTATATTTTACCACGAGGCTTGTGGCTTCCTAACTCCATCTTATTTCCCCAGTGACTTATCAATGTCTCCCTGACTCTATTCTTCTCCCTATATCTCCGCTTGGATTTCCCGCCCTGCTCTGTTCTGTCTAGCTATTGACCAAATCAACTTCTTTGTTAACCAATGGCAATAAAATATATTCACAGCATGGCCGGGCGGTGGTGGCGCACGCCTTTAATCCCTGCACTCGGGAGGCAGAGACAGGCGGATCTCTGTGAGTTCTAGGCCAGCCTGGTCTACAAGAGCTAGTGCCAGGACAGGCTCCAAAACTACAGAGAAACCCTGTCTCGGAAAACTTTAAAAAAAAATTATTATATATATATTCACAGCATACAGAGGGGTTATCCCATAGCATCAGCCACAGGCCAAGCTTTGTCTTGATTCTGCAGTATCGGCCTGTCCTGTGTTATATAATCAGTCTTTAACCAAATTGTGGTTGGTATAAGTAGGCCCAGGTGGGCAGATACTGGAGCACTACCTTCATCTAAGAGGAGTGAAGGATATAGTGAGTTGTTTTTATTTGTAGAAGAGCTTGGATGAGGATCTTTTCTCCCTGTGATTATAAATAACTTTAGGGAAATTACACATAGTAGCTGTTGCAGCTGGCAGGTCTTCTCACGTACAAGACATTATTTCTGATCTGTTTTGCTTTTGAAGACATATGATTATTTCTATATTTTTAATTTTATTATATTTATTCATTTTTCAAAAACTTTTGTGTGTTAGTGCTTTGCCTACATGTATGTATATGCACCATATGCATGCCTAGTACCTACAGAGTGCTTGCCACTAACGTTGAGTTAAGCACAATTTTCATTTTTATTTTATATATTGGATGTTTAGCCTGCAAGTTTGACTGTACACATACTGTATGCATGCAGTGCATTTGGAGTCCAGAAGAGGGCATCGGGTCTTCTGGGACTGGAGTTTCAGACAGTTGTTGAGCCATCATATGGTTGCTGAGAATCAAAGCTTGGACCTCTGGAAGATCAATCAGTGCTCTTAACCACCAAGCCATCTCTAGCCCTGCTAGTTAAGCGCATTTTTCTGTAGGCCTTTTAAAAGCACAAACGGTAAAGAAAGGGATTAAGAAATCTGATGTGGGAGATGCCATTAGAGCAGTCATTCCGGCAGCCTGAGCTGTGCTCTGCTGGACAGCAGCCGTGCTGACTGTCTTCTGGAAGAACCAATAGAGGTCTGATAGGTGTGGGAGCCTCGTGGTGCCCCTGGCGTAGGTGTGTCCATATGGTGAAATTCAGCAAGCTGCACTTAAAATTTAGGCATTTAAATGTATATTTTATGTTTCAGTGCAATGCTTTTTTTTTATAGTTATTTATTTATTATGTATACAATATTCTGTCTGTGTGTATGTCTGCAGGCCAGAAGAGGGCACCAGACCTCATTCCAGATGGTTGTGAGCCACCATGTGGTTGCTGGGAATTGAACTCAGGACCTTTGGAAGAGCAGGCAATGCTCTTAACCACTGAGCCATCTCTCCAGCCCCCCAGTGCAATGCTTTTTAAAAGAAAAGCCACTAGTAAGCTGTTTATAAGACATGAAACCAGAACTTTTTCTAATGTATTAGAGATCTCTTACAACTTAATAAGGAAAGGACATTTCAAGAGAAATGTGGGAAAAATAATTGAACACCCTCTTCAGGAAGGAGAAAATCCAAATCTATGATCTAATAGAAAGCTATGAGGCACTGTTAGCCATCAGAGACCATACAAGTTCCAGTGAGGTCAGTGCCTGCCACACCTAAGCTGATTCAAGTGAAGCATCTGAGAAACAAAGTGCCTGAGGAGCACAGCAGGACCACTCTACTGCACTGTTGGTGGCCCAGAAATGGAACATCCACGGTAGGAGCTGATGACTTAGGAATTCCTTTTCAGAGACGTTTGTATGAGACTATGTTCGCCACTGTGTGCATAGTAGTATTAAAAAATCAAAAGTTGATAACTCAGATGTCCATTAACAGAAGAATTAGGGCATAAATTTCATTATTTATCTAATAAATTTTATATAATCACATGAACCTTTTTTGTAGAAGAACTCAACTAAATATAAGTACTCCCATTTCTTTCATAAAATTTCAAAGGTATTTCTTCCCTTTCTCAAGTTTGTGTCTTAGTCCGGCGAAAAGCACTCGTTCTGAAGGTGCCTGTATTTGTGATTGGACTGTCAAGACAGTGTAGACAGTCAGGAAGGTGCCTGTATTTGTAATCAGACTGTCAAGACAGTATAGACAGTCAGGAAGGTGCCTGTATTTGTAATCAGACTGTCAAGACAGTGTAGACAGTCAGGAAGGTGCCTGTATTTGTGATCAGACTGTCAAGACAGTGTAGACAGTCAGGAAGGTGCCTGTATTTGTAATCAGACTGTCAAAGACAGTGTAGACAGTCAGGAAAGTGCCTGTATTTGTGATCAGACTGTCAAGACAGTGTAGACAGTCAGGAAGGTGCCTGTATTTGTGATCAGACTGTCAAAGACAGTGTAGACAGTCAGGAAGGTGCCTGTATTTGTGATCAGACTGTCAAGACAGTGTAGACAGTCAGGAAGGTGTCTTTATTTGTGATCGGACTGTCAAAGACAGTGTAGACAGTCAGGAAGGTGCCTGTATTTGTGATCAGACTGTCAAAGACAGTGTAGACAGTCAGGAAGGTGCCTGTATTTGTGATCAGACTGTCAAAGACAGTGTAGACAGTCAGGAAGGTGCCTGTATTTGTAATCAGACTGTCAAGACAGTGTAGACAGTCAGGAAGGTGCCTGTATTTGTAATCAGACTGTCAAGACAGTGTAGACAGTCAGGAAGGTGCCTGTATTTGTAATCAGACTGTCAAGACAGTGTAGACAGTCAGGAAGGTGCCTGTATTTGTAATCAGACTGTCAAGACAGTGTAGACAGTCAGGAAGGTGCCTGTATTTGTGATCGGACTGTCAAGACAGTGTAGACAGTCAGGAAGGTGCCTGTATTTGTGATCGGACTGTCAAGACAGTGTAGACAGTCAGGAAGGTGTCTGTATTTGTGATCGGACTGTCAAAGACAGTGTAGACAGTCAGGAAGGTGCCTGTATTTGTGATCGGACTGTCAAGACAGTGTAGACAGTCAGGAAGGTGTCTGTATTTGTGATCGGACTGTCAAAGACAGTGTAGACAGTCAGGAAGGTGTCTGTATTTGTGATCGGACTGTCAAGACAGTGTAGACAGTCAGGAAGGTGTCTGTATTTGTGATCGGACTGTCAAAGACAGTGTAGACAGTCAGGAAGGTGCCTGTATTTGTGATCGGACTGTCAAGACAGTGTAGACAGTCAGGAAGGTGTCTGTATTTGTGATCGGACTGTCAAAGACAGTGTAGACAGTCAGGAAGGTGCCTGTATTTGTGATCGGACTGTCAAGACAGTGTAGACAGTCAGGAAGGTGCCTGTATTTGTAATCAGACTGTCAAGACAGTGTAGACAGTCAGGAAGGTGCCTGTATTTGTGATCGGACTGTCAAGACAGTGTAGACAGTCAGGAAGGTGTCTGTATTTGTGATCGGACTGTCAAGACAGTGTAGACAGTCATGAATTTTTGTGTATATGTCCAGAATTTCTCCTGTCCCGTTAAGTTTTGTTAATGAAACACTGCAGTGAAGGCCATCCCCCACTCTTACTTTGTGTTGTCTTGGTATTTAAATTAGGGAGTAAGATTAGGAGCTCCCATAATCTAGCACATGGGAACTGAGGTTGGAGGATTGCCTTGAATGTGAGTCAGCCTGTGCTACATGAGATCCTGCCCCCCAAAACAAACACCAAACCCACCAAAAAATTAACACATCTTAAAACTATTATTTTTAATAGCGTTATTATAGTATTCATATAAAATTTGCCTACTATTTGTTGATTCTTGATTTATAAAGATTCTATTTAGAATTTATAAATTCTAGATTTATAAAGTGGCATCCATGACCACCTTCCATTTTACATTTTCATTGCCCCCCCCACCAGTTTCCTCACGCCTGTTCACTGTCAATCAGGTGTTCATTTTAGAAGGTACTGAATCTTGTTCTCGGATTCTTCATTGTTAAAAGTAGGGTAGCACATTGTTGAACAGAAAGGAAAGATACCAGTCAAATCCTATATAAGTGTTGTATCTGAAAGTCGTTTAACTTCTGCACACACGCTGGGTTAAAATTGATCTTTTTTTTTTTTTGAGGGTTGGGGTGCTCTTCTCTTTGAGTGGATTTTTAGGGTTTTTTTGGGGGGGGCATGGTCTGTGTGTAGTATATGCGTGCCTGGTTCATGACCTAAGTTTTGGGTACACGTGCCATGCACACAGACTTGGAGACCAGAGCAGAATGTGGAGTGTATTCAGCAGCAGCCTCTACCTTATTCCTTGAGGCAGAGTCTGAATTGGAATCTCAGCATTTGAGACTGGGACTCCTCTGCCTTTCTCCCCCGTGCTCTTAATGCTCAGGTCACAGGCAAGCGCAATCATGTCCAGCTTTTTACCAGGATGTTCCGTATTCAAAGTCAGCTAGCAGAGAAAGCACACTTACCCACTGAGCCATGTCTCTAGCCCAGTCTTTAAGTTCTAAATTGATGAATTGCTCTTTCAGTTTTATATTGCCATTTCCTCTAGTACGAACTTCTAAGAGAATACATCATGCATAATTGGATGAGGAATAGATAGGAAATTAGGCTTTAATAATCTACCTAATAATTGAATCTCTGAATATTAAACTATAAATTAGTAGTAACTGAAGGATTTTCTGGTTTACTCTCAAACTTCTCATGCTTCAGAATAACAGAAAATACTTCAAAACTGTTCTATTTTTTTCTACAAGTTCATATTGAGATATAAGGTGTATCTTTACAAGTATACTGAATATATGTATTATGTGGATTGCTGTATTATCAATTTTGTAGCAGCTTAACATGAATTTTTAATATGCTTGCCTAAATAATTCTATTTATGGTGTTTGTGAAGTAGGGAGTACAGATTTATCTTATGTATAACTAAATATGTGTTCAGAGAGAATACCACCAAGTTAGGTGTGATGACACTTGTCTATAATCTCCATACTCGGGAACCTAAGAACATCCTCAAAAACAAAAAAGGAATGATACAGTGTTTGAGAGTGGTAGAAAGCAAGATGGGCAATGCCTGCCTGGTTGCTAAGTTACAAGGAAGCCTGTGTCTCTTCTGCATGCTAAAATGGTCTCTCTGGAATTATGGGTAACCTGATTTTTACTATGGTTTCTCTGCTGCCAGGTACTTTATTGCCCCGATTGCCCTCAGAACCAGGGATGACGTTACTCACCATCAGAATTGAGAGAATCGGTCTGAAAGATGCTGGGCAGTGCATCGATCCCTACATTACAGTCAGCGTGAAGGGTGAGGAGCTCTGGGTGTGGTGTTCCCTCTGCAGATGTCATGCTGCTTTCCACGTGCAATAGTTGTCCTCAGAGCGGTGGCTCCTGAGTCTGTTGCAACTCATTGTAATTCATTTTATAATGATAGGAAATCCCTGAAATCGATCCTTACTCCTTCAGTGAACGCTCTGATAGGTTTAATAAACATATTTTTAAATGTGTAGCTTAGACTCACTTTTGCTTTTGAGCCTGTCTTTGTTTTTATGTTCCATACTCCAGACCCATCTAGGGAGCCGTGTAGCCGTGCACAGCCCCCTTAGCAGAGACAGCTTCCAGAATACAGAATTAGAAATAGTCTTCCTCTTCCACAGCAAGGTAGTTGAATGGCCCTCTGGCCCTCTGATTCCTACAGCAGGTTTCTGTAAGGTGGGTGCTGGGTGAAGGTAGAAACCAAGAGAGGGCCTGTCCATATGTCCAGACTCCGAGAGCCTTTGCAGAACAGTAAAGAAAGTTATCAGAGTTAGAAAGTGTGGTTGTCCCTGTTCCTAACAGAAAATCCACATGGTTGAATTCTTTATCGTTGCCATACCGGTCACACAGTACCTTATCCCCATACACAGTACCTTATCCCCATACACAGTACCTTATCCCCGTACACAGTACCTTATCCCCGTACACAGTACCTTATCCCCGTACACAGTACTTTATCACCATACACAGTACTTTATACTTGACATACAGTACTTTATCACCATACACAGTACTTTATACTTGACATACAGTACTTTATCATTGACATACAGTACTTTATACTTGTTAAATAATAAATATATAAACACTTATTTGTTAAATAAGCCTAATGCAGAATTTGATTAAGTGGGGTTCCTGGATCCAGGAAATTAAAGCCATACCCAGTAACTTAGTATACCATCTGGTTGTAGTAAATCAGTTACGTTTTAGGAAATATAGGCAGAATGGAAGTACTACTTAGAAAATTCTTTGCTGATGAAAGGGATGTTTTGGCAGCTCTCATGCCGGTCTGACTTGAGTACAGTACAGGAGGTCTGTCTTAATTCTAGATCTAAAGCATTTCCAGCCATGCCCTTGATCAGTGTTGCAAAATAGGGGTCAAGGGCCACATTGTAGCAAAGTATATTCAGTCCAGGTTCTTACTGCATGTAATAGAATGGCCTGTGCTCTCAGCAAACAGGAAGTTCTTTCCCCTCTTAAAGATCCAATTTGATCTCCTGCAAACTTAGTTTTCCCTTTTGTGGGTTCCCATCCTCTCAGTTCAGCTCCCCCACACAGCCGTGGAGAGCAGCAGTTCCCAAGACCCTGTTCATTCAGGGAGGCTCCTTGTGAGCCCCAGAATCCCTCCCCATCTCACCTCCACAGAAAACGGTACCCGTAATGTGATTGCCCCTAAGTGGAAACTTGTTTCTCTCTAGATTTGAATGGGATAGATTTAACTCCTGTGCAAGATACTCCTGTGGCTTCAAGAAAAGAAGATACATATATTCATTTTAATGTGGACATTGAGCTCCAGAAACACGTTGAAAAATTAACCAAAGGTTTGTGACCACAATCTTTCTTTTCCTATGAACAGCACTATTTGGGAGGGTATGCACAGTGGTCCCATCATAGCCCACATCTGGAAGAAGTCAGTGTCACCTGGTTAGTTGATTTGAAGAAGTCCAAATAGTAATGTTTTTTAAATGTTGAAATTAGGTGATGTGCTATCTGGTTGTACAATGACACTAGAATGTAATGTTCTTCAATAGTAAAATTTTAGGCCTGGGAGATGACTCAGTGGGAGAACCTGAACTAGGTCCACGGCACCTGTGTGAAAACCAGGCATGGCAGCTTGCCAATGCTAGAAGATTAAGACAGCAGAGGCTTGCTGCTCAGCCAAGGTAGTTCCACCTTCAGTAAGAAATCCTATCTCTAGCCAGGCGGTGGTGGCGCACGCCTTTAATCCTATCCCTCAGGAGGCAGAGGCAGGTGGATCTCTGTGAGTTTGAGGCCTACAAGAGCAAGTTCCAGCACAGGCTCTAAAACTACAGAGAAACCCTGTCTCAAAACACCAAAAAAGAAAAAAAAGAAGAAATCCTGTCTCTAGTGATGTGGGAAACCAGTTGAGGAATATACTGACGTTAACCTTGTGCTTGCTGCACACACACACACATGCTGTATGCACGCACTCACGCATACACATGCATGTATAGAAGTTTTTCTCTTTCTGATGAGTTGGGGAAGCTAGAACTCCTGATGATGCTCTGTTCCCTTCCTTCCACTTGGATACACTGAGTAGAAAAGTACCAGAACTTGGCAGCTCATTGGTGGGAAGGTAGGACAAGAAAGAGCCACCTTTTAGCACAGTGAAGTGCATCGCAAGCCGAGCACAAGTCTTAGCAATAAATACTTGCAGTTCCATTTGCCCCCTGACCTGTTGGTGTTCTCTACAGAGAAGCCTTCAAGTCCCTTATCTCACTTGAGGCTCAGCTGCAGTTTGAGATGCCAAGCTCTGTAGGAAGTGTGTGTTCAGTGAGTGCCTTTAAAAACAGTTCCTGCAGACTCTGTAGTGTTGACGCTTTTCAAATAAGGAAGAGATTGCAACTCCGAATGTGCCTTCCCGTTGCTTTGAGACCAGTTTGTGATGTGAAGGAAGACAGTGTAATCCTTGGGCTAATTTCTTTCCTGATGGCTGATGAATCCTTGAACTATATTCAGAACATCACTGTTCCTTTTCTCTGGTTTTGAACTTAATTTTAGTCAATATAGTTCTAAGTAATGCTAATTCCAATGAGCTCTTGTGTTTATAAGTCTTTCAGTCATCTTAGGATACCGTAATTTTACATTTTTAACAAATGTATGGGATACAGAACTCTTCATACAAGACTGCAGTAAACATTTTTGCTGTGGAAGCACATTTCACTCCTTCGGCCAATAGCCTTTAAGGTACCAGCCTGCTTGGGTGTGGTCTCTGATATTCTAAAAGCAGTTGTAAAGTGTGTGCCCGCTCCTACTTCTGGCTGCTAGACTCTGTTTGTGCAAAGGACTGTTATCTAGGATAGTGATCTGTAAGTTTTTCCCTGAAATAACCCTTTTATTATTCATAATTCTGAACTGGTGTGGGATCATTTTGTGACTTCCGTCATTACATCTTGTTTTCTGATAATGCAGATAAGTAAGAATGATAGTGAGATGTTTGGACTTAAGTTTCCAAGCATAGCTTTGCTAATGCTTTGGCTTCCTACAGTCACGATGAGAAAATGTGTTCCCTGACTGAAGGGAATGAGAAGAGTGATCTGAGAATTAGATGTTTCTCCTATTGCTGTAGGAGTAAGAAGAGATGCCACACCAGTGTGGATCTGGTAGGGTCCAATACTTAGGGAAATTGGTCCCCAGTAGCCCAACTGTTGTGATGCTCTTGTGTGAGGAAGTACAGGGTAAGTGTGCCTGTTTCCTCCCTCTCTGGATGTGTCTTGAGTGACTGGGCATTTTCGCTTGTTTTGTGAGATGCTCTGTTTGCACCCAAGTGCCAGGGCTTTTGACACATTTCAGAACATTGTTAAACTTCATCAGTTAGAAACTATATTGTCACTAAAGTAGATGTCTGTTTCAGTCTTTAAAGACAGGATCCAGTGCCCTCCCCACCCCACCCCCCACTGGTAATTTATATCCCTAATCCTAGCTGGTTTTTCCTTCAGGGTAAAGAGCTTATCCACTGGTCTTTGGAGGTGTGTAACTGTGTACCATCCTCACAAATGCTTGTTGTTGCCTTTACACCTTCCTTCCATAGCACATGTTGATGTCTACATCAGCAGTTTTGGACTCTAAAGCAGGGTTAGGTAACATATAATAGCACATGACTCTTGTTGTTTGGCTTTAGGGATTTGTTCAGGAGGAAGCAAAACTGGTTGAGCTTAAATGTTGAAAAAGGACCCTTGGCTGACAGTCTGCCTAGCACTCTACTCTGTGGACTGTGTTCCTGTTCCTGAATTTGTTTTGTTTTGAAATTTCTCTGTGGGTGGTTGGGCTGGTTAGGGTTACTATTGCTGCGATGAAGCACCATGACCAAAAAGCAAATTGGCTTTCACTTCCACATCACTGTTCATAATCAAAGGACACTAGGACAGGAACTCAAAGAGGGCAGGAACCTGGAGGCAGGAGCTGATGCAGAGGCCACGAAGAGGTGCTGCTTACTTGCTTGCTCCTCATGGCTTACTCAACTTTCTTTTTGTTTTGTTTTTTTGAGACTGGGTTTCTCTGTAGCTTTGGAGCCTGTCCTGGAACTTGCTCTTGTAGACCAGGCTAGACTCGAACTCACAGAGATCTACCTACCTCTGCCTAAGTGCTGGGAATTAAGGCGTGCGCTACCACCGCCCAGCTTCACCTTGCTTTCTTATAGAACCCAGGACCACCAGCCCAGAGATGATACCAACCACAATGGGCTGGGCCCTCCCCCAGTACAGCCTCCCCCATCAGTCACTTAACTAAGAAAATGCCTTACAGGCCTGCCTACAACCTGACTTTTTAGAGTCGTTTTCTTAATTGAGATTCTCTCTTCCAAGATGACTTTAGCTTATGTCAAGTTGACATAAAACTATCCAGCACAATGGTGTGCATGAGTTGGGGGGGGGGTCACTTGTATGCAGGTATACCAACATGTATGTACATATGAATGTTGAGCCATGGCTGTACTCTTTCTTAGTCTTTGAGACATGTTTCTCAATTGAACCCAGAGCTCACTGATACAGTATAGCTAACCAATTTGCTTCTGGAATTTTGACTCCTCCCTCCAAGTTCTGGAATTGTAGGCAGGCCACCACAGCCTCCTGTCGTTTACATGGGTTCTGAGGAATCTGGATTCCAGTTCTCACACTTGCGTGACAAGTACTTTAACCACGGAGCCATCTTAGCCTTATCCCATGTTCTTTAGTGATCTGTTCTTGAGGCAGTCTTGCTCAGGATGTTGTAGGGTCAGTTGACATCGAGAAATGTTAGAGAAGAATTTGGGATACCTCGGCACACTGTAAGGTTACTTTGTGGCTTACGTAGACCTTTTCTTGTTCATATATTTCTGGTAAGGAAAGAAAGCTAATTAACATAGCAGGTGCTGCCTATGGATTATGTGTCTTTCAATTTCACAGGTGCGGCCATCTTCTTTGAGTTCAAACATTACAAGCCTAAAAAGAGGTTTACCAGCACCAAGTGTTTTGCCTTCATGGAGATGGATGAAATTAAACCTGGGCCAATTGTAATAGAATTGTAAGTTTGGGGCATGGAAAATGGAATTTGGGGGTCAATCAGAGTATTTTAAACAATAATTTTTTTTCTGTTATGGTTCCAGATACAAGAAACCCACTGACTTTAAAAGAAAAAAATTACAGTTATTGACCAAGAAACCACTTTATCTTCATCTACATCAAACTTTGCACAAGGAATGATCCTGATACAAATAACCTGGAACTTGTGTGAATTTTACCACTCCGAAACCATCATAGCTCCGTGTAGCAATTCACTCTTCACAGGCAGGAATTGAGCCCTACCCATGCCAGCTGGCCCACAAGTCCATTGCAAAGCCGGACAAAGCCGGACCCCCAAACTCAAAAGTTCAGCACATCAGTGACCTATCCTTTGGATACAGGTTTATTGTAGATTTTGAAACATTTTTACCTTTCTATTAATTGTGCAATTGATCCTCTATTTTCTCATCACCACTACTTGCCCCTGCTTCCCAGACAGTACTGTTGTGGTCGATGTGCTGAACTTCAGACAATGCAGCAATAAGAATGTGCTAGAGTTTACATTTCTGCTCGCTTTCCCTCCAGTATGCTCTTCTGGCTTGAATGTGACACTCTGGGTTGAGGTGGGTAGAATTGCTCTGAGAGGAATTGGGCTAGCTACATTGCCCAGGAAGGTCTGTCTGGAAGCTTATAGGTACTCTTTAGAAGTGGCCTAGCCGAATGCCATAGATCTCCTGCATGGAAAGTGTGCCCTGGCCAGATGAAAATCCCACGTGGGGTGTTCCCCAGATGACCAGACTGTTTTCCTGAAGTGAGCACATGTACAGTCAGGTGGATTATCTGCTCTGCTGCTCTTCTTCCTGATAGATTCTAGGGTTAACGTTGGAGCCATCTCAGAACAACTCCAGGTCTTTAATGTGTTTACAATATCTTTTAAACTGCATCATTTAGGAAGAGTTGGGTCAGATGTTAAGATACTGCGGATAACTGCTGCTTTCCTGACAACCCATTGTGAGACCTTAAGACCGCATACCTCTCCTTAGTATGCAAAATCTGGAAAGATAGTTTATTTTTTTTAATATAGGTAGATATAATTGCCATTTATTTCCTACTTAGATATACAGTCATTCATTCCTTTTGAAAATATGCAGGTCATTAGTTTATTTTAAATTGACTATATACTTTTGATGTAACGAGGCATAAATAAGATTTTCAGAGCACATGATGTTGTTACACAGAACATTAAGATTTGTGAGGGGCTTCTGTGGGTGAGACATAGAACCCACATATTTTAATATTCACTTTTCAGTGCGCAGTGCATAAGGAGACTGCACTGTCAACACTGGACCTGTTTTTAAATTGTATAATTCCACCACACCATTCAATATATTTGCTTCTTCAAGTAAGGAATCTCAGTGATATTTTAGCCTTGCCCTTCAAGAAATCTAGTCTTCGCTTTCAGCACCTACACGGCCACAGTTGACTAGATGGATGAAAAGAATCCACAACCAAATTAATCTTGATTGGATTAATTCCAAATGCTGAAACAATCCCGTCTACAGTAGCTCTAAGGGATGTAGAATTTGCCTTAACTCATTATCCGACTCTTAAGCTTTGAGTTGTGGATCCCACGACTGTAAGCTCCTCACGGGGCAAGAGCCACATCTCTGGGACATGTGAAGGGTCTAAGGTGCTTGGCGGTACTCTGTACCTGTGGATTACTCGGTATCCTGGGCAGTACTCTGTACCAGGGGAGTACTCAGTACCCTGGGCAGTACTCTATACCTGGGGAGTAATCAGTACCCTGGGGAGTACTCAGCACCCTGGGCAGTACTCTGTACCAGGGGAGTACTCAGTACCCTGGGCAGTACTCTGTACCTGGGGAGTACTCAGTACCCGAGGTAGTACTCTGTACCCTGTGTCAGTACTGTGTACCGTGGATAGTACTCAGTACCTTCTGTCTGATGTTACTGACTAGATCTAAAAATTAACCCCATAAAACCTACTATTATTAAAATGTAGCAAAGACTATACATTGTCCTTTCTCTTTTCTTACAGACCATAAGACAAATAGCAAAGTGGTCATTTTCTGTGTTGTAGCCCCAATCCTTCACATAAGCATATTTATGTGAACTACAGAGGTGCCTGCCATCAGGGTTAAAGAGCTTTAGTGGAACATCATGTGATCAGCTCAGTTTAATTCAGACATGAAGGGCACAACCGTCATAAGCGGTTAGCACAGAGCATTCCACATTTCCCAAGTCAAGTTTCCACTGCAGTGGGAGAAACTGTCGCACAATCGCCTTTGCCCTAGCAGGCATGCTTTCAAGCTCAGTTACTGCTCCTAGTCCGAGTATTAGCTGCTCAGCCCAGAAACACAGTTAGCTGGAGGCGACTTCTGAAACAGGAACTTTTGAAATGAAAAAATGGTTCAACTGAGGTGTGACGTCCTCTGTACCATCTGTAGGCTGACAGCTTGTCATGGGCTTTTGTAGCACAGGATGTACAGTTGGACGGGGCTGAGGGAAAGCAATGGTAGACAGACTCGCAACTGCCCAGATGTGCTACATGAAGATTTCCCTACATCTTTGCTGATGACGTTTATGTTATACGGGATAATCAAAGGGCTTTAGAAGGAAGTATCCTAGTTTTGAATTAAGGGGGGGGGAGTACTTAGCTTTACTATTTGTCTTCTTAGGTGGTATAATCTTAACTTTAAATGCCATCTAAACTTAGGTGGTTAGATAGCAGAGGCAGGAGGATATGAAGTTAGAGAAAACCTGAACTACATAGATGAGATCCTATCTTAAAAAAAAAAAGCAAAACTTTGAAATTATATTAACTTCACTATTTTGTATCTTGAGGAAGTTGACATACATTCAGATTGTGTTTGCAATTTAGTCTTATTTTTATATTTGGTTTAAAATGGCGTATGCTTGGGGCTTAAGAGATGATTCAGAGCCGGTAGTGATGACACATGCCTTTAATCCCAGCTCTTGGCAGGCAGATCTCTGAGTTCAAGGCCAGCCTGGTCTACAGAGTGAGTTCCAGGACACACAAAGAAACCCTGTCTCAGAGAGAGAAAGAGAGACAGAGAGAGAGGGGGTTCAGAGGTTAGAGCACTTGCTAGAGATGCTGAGTGGTTAAGAACACTGGCTGCTCTTCCAGAGGGCCTGGGTTCAATTCTTAGCACCCACATTGCAGTTCACAACTGTTTGTAACTCAAAGATCCACAGATCTGACACCCTCACACAGATAAACATGCAGGCAAAATACAATGCACATAAAATAAAATATAAATAATTTTTTAAGAGCTGTTCTTTCAGAGAACTAGGGTTCAATTCCCAACACCCACATGGTGGCCCACAACTGCCTGTAACTCCAGTTATAGGGGATCTAGTGCCCTCTTCTGGACTCATGGGCACTGGACATACATGTGGTACACATATATACATGCTGGCAAAGCATATATGCATAGAATAAAAATTAATTTTTTAATGACATATACTATCCTGTAGCGTTTTCTTATAGATATAAAACCTTCTGTGATTCCAGATTGGGACAAGGCACATTGAGCTCTTAGTGGAAGACATGCAGGCCCCTTAGAACTTCCTGCATTCGGGGAGCCTGTCTTTGTATATCATGTCTTCAGTTGTTGGCCATTTTATTTCACATTGAAGCTTTTGCTCATTTTTCAAAATCCCCCATGGATGTAACATCTCAATAGTGACATGCATGATATGGCCTAGGTTTCAATATCGTGACTTCACAGGACTTCAGAGACTACAGTGTCACAGTAAGCAGTTTTCCCCTTATATGGCTTTACATAGTAAGGCTCTGCTAGTGACTGTAAGTAAATTGTCTGAACCAGTTGTTTTGAAGACAGTGTAAAAGGGGTGCAAGACTAAATGTGATGCAGTGTCAGATTCCTAGACTTACCTGATTTATAAATAAAAGCACCAATATCTGATTAATTTCAGAATAGAATCTGTTAAAGAATTGAGCTAGGCAAGGTGATTAAGCCTGAAATTCCAGCCTCTAAAAAGCTGAGACAGGATTACTGAGAGTCTGAAGCCAGGCTGGGCTACAAAATGAGACCCTGTCTCAAAACAACCATATAACTGAACTCAGTCCATAGTTGTGTACTGAAAACACAGGTAAGTTTCCTAGTTTGCCGTCATTTGTCCTCTTGGCACCTTCCTGATTGTTTCTTGTCATATTCTTGAAAGTCAGCTGCAAGGTGATGTGAGAGAGGATAGAATATACATTTCTAAAAAGAAATGGTTTTACAGTCATGGCACATGATTTTTATCTTGTTATCCACCCTTAGGGCAAGAATAGTTTTAAGCCAGGCAGTAGTGGTGCATGCGTTTAGTCCCATCACTTGAAAGCAGAGGTAGGCAGATTTCTGTGAGTTTGAAGCCAGCCTGGTTTACAGAGTAAGTTCCAGGACAGCCAGAGCAGCTACAAGAGAACCTTGTCTTGAAAACTTAAAAAAAAAAAAAATAATAATAATAATAATAGTTTTAAAAGCAACAAAGTATCATGTCAAATAAATTTATAATTTACATTTTTTCCCCATGTTTCAAGGTGTATGTGTGTACAACTTGTGGAATTTGGTTGTTTTCACTGGGTGGATCCAGAGGATCAAACTCCAGCTGTCAGGCATGGCAGTTAGGTGTCTGCTGAGCCATCTTGCTGGCCTACATAATCTTTTTTCCCCCCTCAGTTTTTGAGACAGGCTCTATGTAGTGCTGGCTGTCCTGTAACTCACAGAGATCCACCTGCCTCTGCCTCCCAGATGCTGGGATTAAAGGTGTGCGCCATGACATCCAGCCCCAAATAATTCTTGATACTAATGCAAACGCATACTCAGAAAATCGTTCCCAAACAGGCAGACAGCAGAATCAGGACGAGCGGGGCTGCCGATTTAAATAAGAGAAGATTCCCGTAGTGCTCAGTGGTGACTTAGAGAACTTAACAATGTCACATGGAGTGTGTACACTCAGCACTGCAGTTCCAGAAGCCCAGCTGTCAGATTTCCTAAATGATACATGTCTCAAAACAACCCAAAGAATCAGCAGACACTTGGAAAATATTAATAAACAAAATTTATGAACTATTACTACAAAGAACTTTAGCAACAGGAGTTTATGATCGAGTAAATGTTTTTTAGCGTAACAGTCTTTGAGACACAGATAGAGCTATTGATGCCTTGCTCCGTGTTTGCTGACACACACTAGACCAAGGCCATGGAAATATGTGTTCTTAAAGCATTTCCACAGGAAATGTTCATACTTCAGGATATTCTAAATCATTTAGCAATTACATATGTTACATGAACTAAACACAGGTATTCTTTATTGCACATTTCAAAGTTGGAAGGACACTAGCTTAAGAGGTGATTTTTTACTTAGAAGGGAAAATAATATTTTTTTGTTTGGCTCAAAAATGCAGACTGCCAAGGCAGCTTAGTACTAAAAAAAAAAAAAAAAACAAAACCTTTCAGGTTTTGAAGCCAATGAAATCCTTTGCTGTAATGAATTATGTACTGTCCACTTTCTCTTCTTGAGTCATGATGGAGGTCAAAGTTAGGGGCTGGGTTTTGAAGCCTGTGAATGGTCCTGGACACTGCTTGAAGAAGCAGGTGGGGCTTCTTCTCTTGGGCCGGAAGGCAGTGAGTCTCTTGCAGCAGGTGGTGGCAGTGGGTAGTCCTGAGGACCATGAGTTGGAGGTGGTAATCGAGTACCAGGAGGAATAAAGAAGTCTCTTGGACCAAGTGAACCTGGAGGTCTAAATGGTGTATGCCCTGGTAAAAACTCACGAGGATCAACAGGCAGGTCCCGTTTCCCAGGCAGAACACCTGGTGCATATTCTCTTATGCCTAATGGTGGGCGCATGCCTGCAACTAGAACACAAGAGCCACGTAAGTGAGCAGTCATCCCAAGTGCAATAACATACTTACTAATTTTTTTTTTTTTTTTTTTTTTGTGATTTTTCGAGACAGGGTTTCTCTGTGGTTTTGGAGCCTGTCCTGGAACTAGCTCTTATAGACCAGACTGGTCTCGAACTCACAGAGATCCGCCTGCCTCTGCCTCCCGAGTGCTGGGATTAAAGGTGTGCGCCACCACCACCCGGCTCATACTTACTAATTTTTTAGCCATAGAAAGTCAAGTGACTTTCTCACTGACTTTAAGGCAAGTAAGACTTAGTAAATTTAGTCTGTGGCCACTAAGCAAAGGACCGGTTTAAACACTACTCTGCCTAATTCCAAGTTTTCTTTTCACTCTGCAATTTCAGAACAGCTCCACTTAGAATAACAGCCATGCCAGGAAGATAGTGAAAACACAGATTCACTGTGAAACACACATTCACTGCAACCACGTTGGTAAAGGAGATGTTACTGCCTACCACAGTGTCAACTGAAAGTTCATGTGGCCAAAATACATTAAGGAGCTGGACTCAAATTGATCTACATTGACTAGGTTGCTATGATATTCTCTGTAACACCTCTCTTCTATCTAGTCCCAGTGAGAAGGGATTGTTTAGCTTTCCTGTCTATATTCTATGACCAGTGGCTTATGCTTCTGTTTGTATCTGTGACGTACAGGGTGTTATGGCATGTGTCACCCATCTTTTCCAAACATATGTAGCACCTGCAGAGGGAACATTACTGGCTTCCCTAAATGATCCCTTACCTTGTCTAACCACGCCCAACTCAGTTTAGGGAGATTAAATAGTACCTAGATGTGCTCAGAAGCTTGAGGATAGGGTACAATGTATTCGCAGTTTTATCCTCACCTGGAAAGCTCTATGGTAGCAACTACTTTAGCAAGGAACAGAAAGGATGAGCATGTTTTACAAGTCAATCAATACTGTTCAGATTATCATACCAAATGGTGGAGGAACTGGCCGAGGCCCAAAAGGCCCACATAACTGAGGAGGTGGTCCATATCGAATGGGTGGTGGTATAGGGCCTCCCAAAGGGCCACCCAAGAGAGGCACCCCTGGAAACGGAGGGGGCCCTTTGG